TGGAACGTTGTACAGTCCACCAACCAGCCATAGGCGTGCAGCGCCATCACAACACCCCTCTCCTCCGTCATCATCTTCTTCCATAGATCGTAACCTTCGGATGAGACGAGATATTGACTTGCAAGAGCCAACGCCCGCCTCCTGATTTTCGTCCCAGACTTCTTCTTTCCCGCCTTTGCATTCATCGAGGTCGCCGTTGCCCTCGTCGTTGACTCAGACTGTCCACCACTAACATCCTTTCGTTTGCCGGAAGAGGGAGCCGCCCCTGCATCTGGGAAAGCAGTAGAAGATGTGGCAGTTGTGGACGACTTGGCAGCAGACGCCCTCTTGGCAGCTGATGCCGTGACAGCAGCTGATGAGGCAGCAGCCGATGACATAGCAGCAAATGGCTTGGTAGCAAATGGATTGGCAGCAGATGATGTGCCATAAGATGACATGGCAGCAGATGACGTAGCAGCAAATGGCGTAGTAGCAAATGGCTTGGTAGCAAATGGACTGCCAGCAGATGAAGTAGCAGAAGATGACATGGCAGCAGATGACATAGCAGCAAATGGCTTGGCAGCAAATGGCTTGGCAGCAAATGGTACCGGTAGGGGCATCTCGAAAATTTTCCTGCTGGCTTTTAACGGCCATCCGGTAGGGGCATCCCGCAAATTAGGGACCGGTACCGGTAGGGGCGTAACGAAAAGATTTGAGGCCCAAATGACACCGGGGTCTTATGGAAAATGTGAACCCTGCTCAGAGGGGCGCGACAGGGTAAATCGGCTGTTGGAGGGGCGCAACGCAAAATAACGCAAATTACAGGGGCGCCAGACAAAGTTTCCCATAAAAAAAAAGGAAAAAAAAACGGAAACAACAACAACAACAACAACAACAAAGTGGAAAAAAGAAAGAGAAAACTAGGGCGCTGTCAGGGTTACAGTTTGAAAATACATTTCAAACTGTCGTTTTGGAGTCCAGTCCCCTCTTAAGTTTACAATGCAGACCAAACTCCGCCTTCGTGTGGCTGTCGCAGGACTGAGTTTGTAACTGCAGTCTAGTCATCCACGTTGGAGGGCCAGGCCGTTTTCCAAAAAAGAAAAGAAGAAACAAAAAAAAAGATAGTGGCACTGTATCTTTCCATGCTCTACCGAAAGATTCACTCTCTGTTTCCACCAGTGATCTCCAAATGTGCAAAACGAGAGTGAATCTTCCCTAGAACATGGAAAGATACAGCTCCATGATTTTTGTCTTCTGTGCAATGGGAATACGGAGAGAGGAACGAGAGACGAAGTAGAGAACCCCGAGCGCAACGGCTCTTAGAATATAACATGAAAGAGCCAACACATAAAAAACTGTTGGCGAAACACCCGACACGTGTTTCTGTCGGCTCGCCAGTAACCGGCTCCTCAGGGGATGTGCGAGGCGTGAGATGGAACAGAAGAACAAGCTATATATACTACTACACAGTCCTATACCAGTCTGAAAAAAGAGAGAACCGGGACCAGGGACCAGGACCAGTCAGTGACCAAGAGGGACAACGGAAAATGGACCGAGGTCGAGAGAGGTACCTCTAGAGCCAGAAAACCTGCAAGCAAACCACTAGTCCTACCAATAGGCCCATCCCGTGAAACTTCGTACCCAGGGTTCCCATACACCGCCCATCTGGGCATTAAACAACCGGAGTCCTTTATCAAAATACGAGTCGCGAAACCCCCGTCTTCTCAATTCGATCTTGAGGGAAAATAAGAAGGGGGCTTCCCCCGCAGGCAGTGTTCCCATAGTCTTAGCACGATGAAAGATTGAAGATAGCACCGCCATCTTCTGTTTCTTGCCACTGTAAGAGTTGAAATCCTGAAGGTTTTGAAAAATAATGTTGTTTTCTTCGAGTATCGGCTGCTATACCTTGGCAGGTTTTTTGCCAACCATGAGACGACATCCAAGGTATGGCCATTCTTGACCTTCATTCGTCTTCTCAAGAATTAAATTTTGATCATAGCATCTTGCCTCAAACTGTTGCACAGTAAACTGTGCCTTCACGAGAGAGAGCTTATTGTTGTCCTTATACCTCATGAAAACAGAAATATCATCCATTAATCTTATTTTCAACGTCCACTTTTGTATTTATCTATGATGCGAATTTGGGGGCATATAATTTCACCCCCTTCGCTTTTATCAAAAGCGATATCATCTCATGCTATATTGCATTTAATTCCTTCTTATATACAGGGCAAGCGGTTCGATTTATATTTTGTAAATAAGATAGATTCTCGTATATATAGCTTAGTTTTTGATTCTTATAAGTACGTATTTCATCGTTCTTTTACCATTCAGAATATGACTCTACAACCGAAAACCAATGATGCATCATTACCTAGACTCCTAAGAATAAAACATACTCATTATGAGCACACATGAGACAGGCAAGCGCCGGGCTCGACGACTTGCCCATCGGAATTCCCAGATTCTGCTTCAGAACTTGGCCCATGGAGAGTGTGAAGGTGTTTCTTAGGTCAAAGGAGATGAAGCGGAGGAGCAGAGAAAACCGTACGGATTTCCATCCCAATTCCGAAGTACCCAATCTAGAAAGCCTAACTTGTTTATTGCTACACTTAACCAGAAACTTCCCAAAGTCTTTCTCTTCAAACAACCCCACAACCCATTCTACAACTGATATGATCGCAAAATGCGGTAATCAACAGAACATCTCTTTAACGTCGTAACTATATCCTAACAGCGACTCATCTTTATCCACAGATAGGTTAACCTTAGATAGGAAGGAGGTAAGAAGGACGGTGCTACATAAATTAAAATGAGAATTGACAGGAATGCGTTTGAGCAGTTCATTAACACAAAGAGAGACAAGTCTAGAAGCCCGTCGGGAAGGCTCTGTGCAGGAGGGGCAAATGGGTCGCCACTTACCAACGTCCTTATGTTTGGGAAGGCCATAGGCTCTACCTAACTTACCACGTGGATTCCATGTAGCGAGATATTGAAGTTTCAACTTGCGGTATTCCTTTTTGCAAGTCTCTAACATTTCCAATTCGAACTGCTTGACAGGCATGAAACATGCGTTATCAGTAAAAAGTGAGCGTAAGCCACTCGCGTATACCTCTTAGCAACAAAAATACGTATCTCCAGGGTTATGATCGATAGGACAGGCTACCAAACCAGAAACCATGACAGCATAGCGATTGACCTCTTCTATAGTTAAGTGTGACGTACGGGAGACAGAGGGAGTGAAGCAGCGAAAAAAGTCGACAACAGGGATGCGAATGGTCGTGGAACGAAAAAAGTCGGAAAGAGAGAGAAGAATCTGACGGCGGAGAGCACTTATATTAACAGAGTAATCAGGGTAGATGAGATTCTTAGAATTTAAGCAAATGGCAGGTAAAAAAGGAGCAGTAGAAGCACGAAAGGAAACATGAACTTTGGACCGGGGGAATACCTGAGACAGGGTCTGACAAGTGCAGGTGGGATCGGCTAACTGCGAAAAAGTCCGAAAATTATGAATCACATCAGCTACTGTCTTATTTCGAGTCCATACCAGCCGAAAACGTCTACACACATACTGTAGGTAAGACCTGGGGAGACAAGTCGTGTCATCCAACGAAAGTATAGCAACCTTACATATAGTGCGAATTTCCTCCTTAATCAGCTTCGAATCGTAACGGACTTGGACGACCGACCTGGCAGATAAACACAGCTGAAACTTCTTTCGAAAAGCATGTGCTAAGATAAGACGCAGTGAAGTGCGGGACCTTTTTCCCGTAAAAGATCGTGCAGCATCGTAGCTAGAGATGAAGGTGTCGAGATTCCACGTAGAGAGGGTTTTTCTAGAAGAAGAGGAGTTAAGAAGTCTAACCAGGGAGGTCTTAAGGGAAAGGGATTTAGAACAGAAGCGAGAGATACGTAGGAAAGAAATAGTACGACCCGGCGTAAACCAACCTCGACAGCTGCGGAGAAATCCAGTGGAAAGATCATTGCATGAAACAACGGAAGAACCGAATAGCCTACGGACGGTTTTCCACCCATCGGCGAAGAGAGAACCAGACAGGCAAGAGATAGAAACGGAATCAAGCAAAAAATCTAGGGCATGTTAAAGTATGACGACCAGACTAGAACTAACGATGCCAAGAGAAGAACGAAACAGTAGCGGGGGAGAGGTCTTAGCATGGGTGAGTGGGAGAGAGAGAGATAATTTCCGCCGGAGCCTCTCCTTCTTACCTGGCCTTCTTTTTCGGCGGGGTAGAGTGCGAAGGGAAGAGTTAAGAGAGGAGGAAAGAGTGCGAATAAAAAAACTTCTCTGCTATATACAGATCCGCCAATGAGCAGGGTACATAGATAGGGATAGCAACATAAGAACTGATACCTACCCTTCGAAGCCAACGGTATAGCTTATTACCCTTGTAAGATTTTCGATTGCCGATAGTATTACGCAGATGCTCCTTCCAACAGACATCCAGAGCCCGACTAGTACATCCTACATAAGTATGCCTATACCAGGGCGAAAAGATCATGTACACTATAGGGCCCGGACAATGGATCAAATCATATCTAGATCTAATTAAATGGATAATCAAATTTCGAATATTAAAACCCCAGCGAATCTGTTGGCAAAGAATAAGCAGAATCACGATCGTCCGCAAAATACAATCGATAGAATTAGAGAAAAATTTACCATAACTACCTCGAAAATCCCGACATGCAAGAGTGAAGAACCAGAGATTAGTTGCACTCAGGGCGCGTCCTCACTCGTCAGCGCCAAGACCGTCTTCAGTAGAGGTGGCATACTGAGCATCATCATCGTTCTCTGCCGCTGCCCTGTCTTCTACCTCAAAGCTGGACTTCATCTCCTTCCTGATCTGCTCGAACTCTCGCCGGGCTCGAATCTCCGCAATATCCATCCAAGCCTGCTCAATTTTGATATACAAAATACCCTCCTCTTCACACAAGGTCTCCAGTTCAGCCTTCTTGGCATATCGCAACTCCTTCCGTTTCTTCAGGACGAGACGATCCAGCAGCTCCGCTTCCTTGGTCTGCTCATCACCTTCCCCGGTCTCGTCGTCCTCGGCAGAATCGAGGTTGTGAACGTCCACTTCCCCCAGGGACTTGCGTAAGTTACGGGGAGTAGTCTTCCTGGCTAGAGCGGAACGCTTGGAGCGTGGAACAGGAGTAAGCTTCTTCATCAAACGCTCCTTGAAAAATTCAGCTTCCTGTATGGCGATCTGCTTCGCTTCCAACGCGTCCTTGTAAGCCTTGTGGAGAGATTCCATGTCTTTCGGGGTGTACATGGCTGTAGTCGCAGGATCCACTTTAGCCTTCTTCATAGGTGGTTCGGCATGTGGGTTTTTTTCCGTAATCGTCTACGCAGAGCGTTTACCAGCGTGCTTGATGGAGCGCACATCCTGCTGTAGATCGACAAACTGTTTCTCCAGATGGCTGTTCGCGTACTTCAGCTTGGCCATTTCTTCGTTCTTTTTCTCTAGTAGCGATTGAAGCCCTTGCGTACTCTCCACCTGCTTCTTGAGGCTGTCAAGGTCCTCCTCCTTGGACTTGTCATCGCTCAGCTTCCTTCCCTTCGCCCTTAGAGCCACAATGTCCTGCTCAAGTTGTTTCTGTTCCTGAAGCTTAAGAAGTACTTCTTTCTCCTTCCGCAACCTTTCGACATCTTCCTGCTTGCTGTCTCCAATGCTCTTAGTCTTGAGATCCTCCAATTCCCGATGGAGAATGCGATCTCCTGTTCCTTCGGATCCGTATATGTAGGAAGATCAACCTTCTTGCTTAATACGGATTCACACACCAACTTCATATTGTTCCTAACTTCTTCACCCATACGACTAATGAACGAATCTTTGTCCTTCTTCTCAAGCAACATCTTCTCCTTTTCAGCTTCTTTCCGTTTCCTTTCCTCTTCCTTCCTCTGCCGATCTTTTTTCTCCTCCACCTGATCCTGAAAGAGATCGTACAACTGATCGATCTTGTCATCACGACCTCTGTCCACGAAATTGTTGCGTGCGTATCTATTGTTCTTATTGTTATAGCCCCCGTATCTGTTGTATCCACCGCTGTTGTAGCCATAGCCATTACCACCGTTATTGTAACTGCCGCCACCGTAACGATTGGAGGAAGTCGAAGCCGCTTGGTTCCCCCGATAGGGAACGATCGCATTAGAAGTAGGCGCTGGTAAGATTCCATTCGCCTCCGTCCTAGAACTAGATGACGACCCGCCCACCAATTCCGCAGCATTCAGAATGTCTCGGAGCTGGCGTTCCCGTATAAAGTGACCAGGTAATCCGCAGTGGTGGCACATGCGAGGATTATACATCCTCCTAGTCAAAAGAATAAAAGTAGGCCCGCGTGGACTAAGATGTCCACCCACAATACTTCAGACGGGCAATAGCGCCCTACTCGTTGCACCTGCGCAGAGAGAGAAGGGGAAAAGAGGAATAGACGTACAGAAGATTGAAGAAGAAAGGTCAACGAAGGAGGTAGTGTGAGATGTAATCACACAGCATGGGGTATCATCCCCCGTCGGTTCATACATGCGTATCGCAGTAGAAAGCGACAAAGCACGAACGAAAGGCTGAGCCGATCATTGAGATACATGCATCACACAGAAGGGGGGAGGCGGGGGGGGGAAGAGGGGAGAGAGGAAAGAGAGACGAAGTAGAGAACCCCGAGCGCAACGGCTCTTATAATATAACATGAAAGAGCCAACACATAAAAAACTGTTGGCGAAACACCCGACACGTGTTTCTGCCGGCTCGCCAGTAACCGACTTCTCAGGGGATGCGCGAGGCGTGAGATGGAACAGAAGAACAAACTATATATACTACTACACAGTCCTATACCAGTCTGAAAAAAGAGAGAACCGGGACCAGGGACCAGGACCAGTCAGTGACCAAGAGGGACAACGGGAAATGGACCGAGGTCGAGAGAGGTACCTCTAGAGCCAGAAAACCTGCAAGCAAACCACTAGTCCTACAAATAGGCCCATCCCGTGAAACTTCGTACCCAGGGTTCCCATACACCGCCCATCTGGGCATTAAACAACCGGAGTCCTTTATCAAAATACGAGTCGGGAAACCCCCGTCTTCTCAATTCGATCTTGAGGGAGAATAAGAAGGGGGCTTCCCCCGCAGGCAGTGTTCTCATAGTCTTAGCACGATGAAAGATTGAAGATAGCACCGCCATCTTCTGTTTCTTGCCACTGTAAGAGTTGAAATCCTAAAGGTTTTGAAAAATAATGTTGTTTTCTTCGAGTATGGACTGCTGGTTCTTGTGCATGGCTTGGCAATATACCCTGGCAGGTTTTTTGCCAACCATGAGACGACATCCAAGGTATGGCCATTCTTGACCTTCATTCGTCTTCTCAAGAATTAAATGCTGATCATAGCATCTTGCCTCAAACTGTTGCACAATAAACTGTGCCTTCACGAGAGGGAGCTTATTGTTGTTCTTATACCTAATGAAAACAGAAACATCATCCATTAATCTACAACCGAAAACCAATGATGCATCATTACCTAGACTCCTAAGAAAAACATACTCATTATGAGCACACATGAGACAGGCAAGCGCCGAGCTCAACGACTTGCCCATCGGAATTCCCAGATTCTGCTTCAGAACTTGGCCCATGGAGAGTGTGAAGGTGTTTCTCAGGTCAAAGGAGATGAAGCGGAGGAGCAGAGAAAACCGTACGGATTTCCATTCTCAGATTTTGTGCTGACAAAAAGAGAGCGAATTTCCATTCTCATGGAGAAAAACGCAGAGGCCCTAGGGGAGACATGTGCTGAGAAAAACCCAGTTTCTTTTCTTTTTTTTGTCTCATTTTTTTCCTTTCTCGGATTTCTCCACCTATGCGTGTCATCCTTGGGGCCTCGTGGTGGTGCATCTTTCCATGTTGTAGCGGAAGATTCACTCTCGTTTTGCATGGCTCCACTACTCTCGAAATGTGCAAAAAGAGAGCGAATCTTCCTATAGAACATGGAAAAATACAGCGCCCTTGATTTCTGTCCTTTGTGCATGTCAAGAATAGTGGAGCAAGGTCCCCTCTGTGTGTGTGTGTGTGTGTGTGTGTGTGTGTGTGTGTGTGTGTGTGTGTGTGTGTGTGTGTTTTTTTTTTGGTTCCTATAAATCTAGGCTCCGTT